AGAAGCTTTGCTATATTAGCTTTGATATATGGGTAAAAAGTAGTTTTAATATATTTTTGAGTGATAAAGTCCACCTGAAAACATTGTCTGTGCAGTCAGTTCATCCAGATTACCATCCTGCCTTCAAATATTATTTCTCTGTAAGAGCCCCTCAGACCCCCACATACCAGCAGTGCGCTGTCACTGGGAATCCCCAGCAGCAGCTGCCTCAGGCCCGGTCCCCTCTTGGAGGTTTTCTCTGGCTGCTGGTAGTGGCTGGAAGTAAGTGATAGCGCTTTTCAGGTATGTGGTACAAACTGCAGGACCCAGGATTATAAAAGCATCATATTTTGCCAGCAGGTTTCAACATTTTAAGTTAATTTAGGTGTTAATAAACTGTTTCAGGGAAGTGATCATAGCGCATCAACAGTGCTGTGTCTCTCTCCCTGCCAGCTCCCAGATCAGCTTCTCTGATTGGTTGATTTGGCGCGTCGAGCAGCAAAAGTTAAATTTTTCCAACTCCAGCAGCTGCTGCTTGTGCGCGTCACGCAACTCAGATGCTCAGAGGCTAATGAGGGGCTGCTTCGGTTGCTCAGAGACGCTGCAGGACCTTTAGATGCACCTTAATGCGCATCAATCATTAACTTTGTATATAAACCAGCTGCTTCTGCTGCCTCTTCAGCGTGTGGTCTGAACGTAGCATTATTGATTTCTGCTCTGTAAGTGTAGATGGAAGGTCGTGTCCTGATGAGTTGCAGTTTTCCAATTCTTTCTCCTTTTCATGGGATCTGTTGATACTCAGAAAAATGTTCACCCTGTTCCGTCTGGTGTTCCATCAATGTGCTGATGTTTCTCTCATGTGCATTAATATGGTGTGAGTTTTGTTCAATTATTGTTGCCATTATTGTTGCAAGCAAATAACACATTTTATGAATGAAAACCAGACAAATGGCATCCAGAAATGCCCCTTTAAAAATTCTTAATCAGTAAATTCTGTTTTCTCAGATTTTTTTTCTTTAAATCATTTATTTATCATTTTTCATATTATTAATATTTATTTCTTAAAATTTCTTAGAGATTATATGTTTTCAAATGTAAGTTTTCTATATTTTTTTCTTTTTCAAATAGATTTGGAGTAATTTTCACATTCTTTTTTACAGATCACATTCTCTATTCTTGTAAGGGCGGCAGGGCTTTTCTCTGGCCTGAGGAGCAAAGATTTTATTTGCATTTTATTTGTCTTCATAGATGTTAGCGACATTTTTATTGGTCGATAGCGAGCGATTGAATGTGATCTGTAAAATGCAATGTCATTTATATTTTTCAAATTTCTGTGATCAATAAAAAAAACTGAAAATACAAAATCTGTGAAAAAAATAAATTGAAGAAATAAGATCTGAAAAATTAAATATATTAAAAAAAACTGACAAAACTGGAAATTTACTTAGTGTTTCATTTCTGGATTGCATTTTTATAAAATTTACATCCACTCAAATATCCTCTAACAAACATCTGGGGACAGAAAATGAGCAGCTGAAGAAAATGACACCTATACTTATGCAACTTTTATTGTAATTTTTAATAAACAGTGTATACGAAATTAAATTTGGTTTAGTACAGCTTTCAGACAGTAAATGAGCAGCAGCTTAGCACTGAAATTAACCTTTCCATTTCATAAAGACAGACTCTGTTTAGTGATTATGAAACTTTTATCTGAAAGGGTGAAAGCAAATGCAAACCACTCGATCCAGATTTTTAAAAATTCATTTTATGCTTTTTCCTTCCACTTTATGGTTACAGCCACTTTTTGCTGGTGAATCAGATGAAATACAGGTAAAATACATAAAATCTTGCATTTCATCTCTTTGCAAATTGGAAGGGTTTGTAAACTGAAAGGCATTGTAACCTGAACTCTGTAATTGTTTCATATCCTTTCCACCCTTTATTGTAACATCACATCAAACTACAGCGAATTGATAATATTTCCAGCTCCCTTTCATGGCAAATCCATGCAGGCTGCAGCAAAGAGCCCTGGAAAACCTTAAATAGAAGAGGCGACAGAATGTTGGTACCACATGTCATATCAAGCATAGGAGAAATGGTGCAACTCTAAGGCCTCAGTGAGGGGTCAGAGTGTGTGTGTGGTAAGGAGGGGGAGTGAGCAGGATGGCACAGCTGCAGGCAAACAGTTTATCCTGTCCCGGGAAACAGAATCAGTCAGGTCAGGTGGGTCAAGAGGCCACGACCCCTTAGGTTAAGAAAAAGAGTCCATAAACAGGCAGTTCTTCAAAAGCTTGGGCCCCTGTGGGAGGAACGGCACCAGGTTGGGAAAATAAACCATGCTGACCTGTTTTCACGGTGCAGGACTTTCCCCTGGTTCAGCCTCCTTATTGTTGTTGTATATACGAGGCTCTGGTCTCTTCAGCACTCATCTCTGCAACAGGACTGCGTTTCCTACAGAAGCATTCTTACCGATTAAAACGTTAGGAAGGAAGGATGCAATCTCATTCAGATACTCTTCATTTATTACGCTTGAAATGGGTTTATGGTGCCTATAAAATGCTAATTAAATTACAGGACCTTAACTGTGTGTTTGCATAACATCTGAGGTCACGTCATGTGCTTAGAGTTCAAACACTTGCAGGGGAGGAGGGCCATCAAACATCTGCCAGTTTGTTTTTAGCACCAATTGCCATGACAACATGTGACAGGCTTCATATGGTCTCCATGTGAATAAACATAGCACCTGCTGGGAGAGTCCCTCATTAACAACTAATCAACATACAATCCTCAGATTAATGGGTGTATGAAAGGGCCGATGTGTTCCCATGTAGATAAACCCTTGGCTCTCCATCCTAAGTGCTGCCATTAAGTTGTTTGTCAGAGAAAAGGCAACTGTAATGTCAGGAAATAGTTTTTGGGGCCCTCTAGACTATGAAAGATCTGTTGTGGGACTTCCGATGTCCTTGGCCTACAGTTGATTCAGTGATGGCCGGGTGTGCAGCGCTTACATCCTTTTGGCCTCCTGCTGAGGTCAGGAAATCAAAGGAAGAAGGCACAGACAAACAGCCAATTGTCAAGTTTTACACCTTGACCTCTGCTTAAACCCATGCCTCCCTCCTTTATGTTCGCCGCCGCTTCAGCAATCGGGAGGAAATTGAGAGGTTAGCGGCGGTTCAGCCGTGATAAGAATCTTGGAATGGAGAAGTTCATGAAGGGGAAAGGTTACTGGGAGTTTAAAGAGAGCGTAGTCAGTCATGGGGAGGATTAAAATAAAAAGGGAAGTCAGCGCTAAGGAACTGTGCTTGTGGTTTCAAAAGCGCACTGCGGACAAAAGACGTCTGTTTGCTTGCTGGACTTTGTGTTCAAACCAATTATAGGAAGCTGGGTTTGAACTTATCTTCACCTTTAGAACGTCTCACACTCAAGTTCTCTTTTCTCCACTGAATTATTACCACATGCTAAGTTATCAGACTCAGACTTTATGCATTTTCTGCACAATCACATTACAGGATCTTGATAAAAGATTTACACTATTAGGGTAAGGGACATTCTTGGGCATTCAGAATGCATCTGGTGACCTTCATGGGTCCTCCCACTGTCTTTCCTGCTCTTAGTAAGAGTCATTGCTCTGGCATAAAGCATTGATCCCAGGAGGAGAGGATTTTAAGACACTAAAAAGAACATGCAGCTCCAACTTAAATGAATTGCTTCAATTGATTGATTAACTTTATTGATCTCACAGTGGAGAAAGTTACTCGTTACATCAGCTCAAATAGTCAAAAAGAAGAAGGTGCCAAAGAAAGAAAAGGTGCATGGGGGTATATACAGTATGTAGAGTGTGTCCACATATACATGTACACATACATAAATATATATATATATTCTTCTTCTTTTTGAGTATTTGAGCTGATGTAATGAGTATGTTTCTCCACTGTGAGATCAATATATATATATATATATATATATATATATATATATATATATATATATATATAGATATATATGACAGCTGAAGCAAGAAATCTTATCAACTATGAACACCTTAATTTAAAACTTTCAGTTTTTTCCTAAATTGGCTGCATCAACCTGATTCAATTACTTGTTACCATTGAAAGGATCTTACCCACTAAAATTAGCGGTTTAACTTGGGTTTTTCAAACATTGGTCGAAAAACTGCATATTTGGATCCCGATGTAAATCCCTTTATTGTCCCACAATGGAGAAACTCATTCTCTGCATAGAATAAGTATATAACTGTAGTCTGGAACTCGAGCAACAATCTTCTCCTTCACCATCTTCCTCTCCTTTGCAGTTGTAGGACTGTTGCTCCATCTTTAAAACACTGTGCTTGTTTTTATATTTCAGTCATCGGCCTCACATTTACTGCAGTCCCATTAAACAGCTATTCACTATGTCCAGGCATAGCCAACATGGTGCATTGGTCTGAATTGACTGTCAGACAATCTGGCAACTTGCCGTAAAACATGCCTCTACTTGTAATGGAATAAATACCCACTACTATTCTGCATGTGTAGGAAGTTGGGTTCAAATTGAACAATTCTTTCAGTAATTTAGATTCATACTTGATTTTCTGCACAAAATTAAACTGGGTTAAAATTTAATATTTGTATCAAAGTTTTCCATATATTACACGGGAAAAAAGAAAACATAATCTTTACCAGATGTTTTAAGAAAACCATGTTAAGTCGGCTGAAATGGAAAAACAGAAACTCATACAAAACAGGTCATGCATTTTAGTACTTTATTTTTTAAGATATCAGTGCAAATGAACACCAAAAATGAAAACATAAAAAATGAAATATTTCAGATCTTCACATGTAAAAAGAAAAAAAACCATCATTTTATATATTTATATATATATAGATATATTTGCTGCTACAAACTTATTTCTTAGATGCACAATGCCGATCTATGATTGTACGCCAGTCCCCACTACAACCCCATGCTCCGTCACAGAGCTTTGTTAACCAGTAACAGAAAACAAATTAAATCACAAAAATAGTCAATCCACATTTATTTTTCACACATTTTTCCATCAGCTTGTTCAACATTCTGCTGTTAATAAGGGACTGCTCATATTCTAAGCCGACCTCATGATCTGTGATAAGGAAAAAAAAAAAAAAAAAAAGAGAAAAGAAGACCTATTTTAAGACTTGACATTTTCCCCCATCACCAGTAGGGATACACAGGTAGTTCCCATGCGTCTGCATGCAACAGGCAGCAGTGAGGAGAGTCAGACATTATTACACAACACAGCGCAGGATAGATTATCATTTACCACATAGAGACACATGCAAAGAACAAACCAACCCAAAAAAAAAAAAAAAAAGAAAAGATGGGCATAGTATCCTCTGCCTTTGTATGTACACTTGTACGCATATAATCAGTATTTACATTTCAGGGCATTAAAAACTAGGGCAATATCTTTTTTTTAAACATTACAAAATAGTCATCTTCCATACTGAAAGTACTATTTACACAATTTATTCAACCATCGTGAAAACGTAGTAATAATCGAAGAGACATATGTTAGAAGTATATGTATTAAAAATACAACTAAACGAACATAGCAGAGTGAAACCAAAATAAAGCGCTAAATACCAGATACCCTTTAAGACAAAAAGAGTCTCTGTGATTGGTGGGCAGGTGGGTGCATGTATCCAGCTGCTCTGAAACAAACAGGTACCTGTGGTCTTCTCTTCATCGACATGCAATTCTTTTGATGTGTTATGAGTAAGAGATTCCACAAACATAAAACATATATGCAGAGCACAAGAGTTAAGAAAATAAGAAAAGAAAATCACAAACTACCAAATTCTGAAAAGATAACAATACTGACTTTTTTTTTCATTACATGCCATTAAATTATTATTTTTCTAAAAAATAAAAAGGACACCAAGGGCTCAGTTTCGATAGTGCACACTCCAGGTAGTCTTATATTACATGAAAAAAAGCGCCATGTGCATCTCACTCAATTTTTTTGTGTGCTTCTCTCTTTTTCTTTTTTTCTTCACCAGGATGGTGAGATAAGTCACTCAGACAAAGAAGCCTTTTACTGTTGCTCCAGAAACCTGTTTACACAGCCTTGTTCAACTGTAAGCGCCAAACGCTTTCATGTTGACCCATCTGCGAAAAACTGCACAATCTGCAAACACATTACCCTGAATTTGCACTGTCGAATCTCACCCTTAAAGGTTCAGCACAAAGAAAAGAAGCTGAACACAGTGACTGAATCTCCAATGATAAATTCTTTCCCAACAGCCCTGAATTCTGAGGAAAAGCTAAATAAAGCATTCATAGTGGTAGAATCTGAATCTGAGGGTACTGTGGTGTGACTTCTGTTTTTTCTAAGGTCCTTCTATAATGTGCACAGTTTTCATTAAGAAGCTTTAATTATCTGGGAATGGATTGAACTGAAATCCAATTAAAAATCATTAGGATTTTTTTATTTCTGAACATGCTCAGATGGAGAAAATTTAACACAAGCTCAGTGAGCTATTTTGAATCATCAATAAAACATTTTGCCTGAAATATTCTCTCTAAATATTTGATGAAAGAACATAGGAAAAACTGATATGTGTTCACTTCAGAGATACACAATGAGGAAATTATAAAGGACTTGAAATGTTTCATACTAAAGGTAGTGCAAAGTAACATTGAATGAGTAGGGGATAAAGAATTTAGTACTGTTGGATCATACATGCTAAAAGGGACCACTCTCTTTCCACTTCATGACACAGCCATTTAAAGTCGAGAAAGCAACACACATTTTTATTAATTATTGAATTAAAAATGGAAGTCATTCTCTCATCAAACCAATTTGGCAAAGTACATAAAAAATGAAAACAAGAAGGAGTCAATGGATTTGATTTGACTTCGTGTGTTTTCGTAGTTGATACAACTGTTTAGTGGGACGACTGGCTCAATCCCTGGCCCTCATGGCTGTGCTTGTCATTGTGGCGTGGTGATTGAGGGGTGGAGCTCAGGCTGCGTTCATAGGCGTGCGTGTCATTGACTGGCTCCTCTTTGACTCGGACCACAGGCCGAGCTCCTTCCGCCTGCTCGGGTGCCTCTTTGTTCAGTTGGATGTTGCCCTTCTGCAACATGTAATACAAGATGGGGTTGGAACGTGACAGCCGCGGGGAGTCCGGGTTTGACTCGCAGCTCTCGTCCACGCCATCATTTTCATGACTGCTCCAACGAACGGGGCTCTCAGGCTCCTGTTTGATTAAAGTAGGGGGCTCCCGTTTTTGAGCAACGGGCCATGGAACCGCCTGACGGGTCCACTGGGCTGGGCGGATGGAGTTGTTGCCATCAGGAGGGGTGGGTAGTGGTCTTAGATGATTTGGGAGCCCTGAGTTAAGGGAACCATGGGGGTGCCAGCTAGGCAGGTGGAAGAAGTTATGATTGGTAGGCTGGCTGAGAATGTTACCATTGGCTTTGCCGCTGCCCTGCAGGATAGACGGACTGGAGCCCCCACGCGGCTGCTGGGACAACTCCTTCAAACAGTTGTCAGAGAGCAGCAGCTGTTTCAAAACGTTTAAGCCACGACTCTCTCTGGTTAGAGTTTCACTCAAAGGGCTCCTCGGTGGAAGCTCCTCCTCTTTGAGACTCCTCTGCTGCTCAGGTTCTACCTGAACAGCAGAAGAGACAGACATATTGGTGTTACCGCTGTCCACTGCTCTTGGAGAAGTGATATTGTTCAAGCTGTCTGTGTGTTCAGAGCAGATGCGTCTCCTTTTAGGACTGGGATTTGGATAGTCCCTCTGCTCCTCTTTGACATGTCTGGATTGGGACTCAGCCTGCATAGCAGCACTGGTATAATAGGTAGCAGTCTGTTGTTTAAGCAGCTGGCTTAGGAGCCCATATTTTGCTATGACCTCTGCAGGCCTCGGTTCTGTTTTTAAGTCTTGTTGAGAGTTTGAAAGGGGGCTATTCTCATAAGCATTTAGTCTCTTTACACTGCTCAATTCCTCAGACATAGAGAGAGATGACCCTCGCTCCTCTGTAAGCTCTGATTTGACTTTTACATCCAAAGGGGCATCATTGGAGCTGTCACAGAGGCTGGAGGCAGTGGGGCTCCTCTCAAAGCACCCCCCCTCCATTTCAGCATTTCCTCTGCTACTCCCACTGGGTCTATCTTTGCGGCTGGCTGTAGCACCAGCTGAACCAGTGCCGAGAAGGAGCTGCAACACAGTGCGTCTCTCCAGAAGATTCTCAATTTGCGAAGAAGGTGGGGATGGTTCCTTACGGCTGAAGGGTGTGCTACTGCCTGAAGCTCCATCAGACAGTGGTGTAGGGGTGTTCCTCTTGATAGGAGTATTAAGCCTTTGCAATAGGGCATGAGGCCTGCTTTCATTCACCTCCTGACTCAACCCTTTTCCAGAGGATATAGGTGGGGGTGGGGAAGTTGTGCCACACTGAGCCAGATTTTGTAACAGTTTACTGGCACTGAAGGCTGGTTCTGATGCTTTGTCGGCAGGAAAGGTCTTAGATTTACACAAATCAAGTGGGCTAGACTGGACATGTGGAGAGGGGTGTGAATACGGGGACAGAGCAGCACTTGGGTCACGACTGAATGAGTAGAGGGACTGCGACTGGCCTGCAGGCCTTTCAATTTTGCTTTTTGTTGGGCTCTCTTTCCAAATTGACTCTTTAGGTTGATTTCGTGACATGTTTGCCATAGTTATATCAAGAGGCAAATCTTGTCTACCTGTGCTCTTTGCCATCTCATTATTCCTGCGCTCAAGAAGAAGTTGCATAAGTGTGACCTTAGGTTGGGATTTCAGGTCTGGGTTTATTTCACGCTCCTTGTTCTTGGATGCAATTTGTCTTGATGGATCTGGCTTCCACTTATTTATTAGGGATTCGGTCATTTTGTCCAGTGAGGAAGTGGTAAAGGAGGAGGATGATGAAGACATAGCACATGACACAGAAGATGAAGCCATAGAGGAAGGAGAAAAAGATTTAGTGGAGGCCTGGGTAGAAGATTGAGGAGAGATTGTTACAGGGGGTGAGGAGAACACAGTGGTAGAAGAAGAGTATGTGGAGGAGGAGAAAGAGGGTGTATTTTTGGGCACTGTGTCCTGTAAACTGCTGCGGCCTCTCAGGGAGAGGTCAATGGGAGAACAGCTTGAGTAGGAGCTCTCAGCATCGCTGCTGTCCTTGGTAGTGCTCTTCTCATGGACAGAGCACTCACTGTCTGATGTGACTGAGGAAGAGCCACTTTGTGGAAGAATCCCACTTATTTCCTCTACATGCCCATTCTTGGTCAGTTGCTTCTGGTTGTTGTGGTTGTTCAGCAACAGCAGGAGCAAGCTGCTGCACGTTTGGGGTGGGCGGGTTGGACGTGTATCAAAGCCTCGCTTTTCCCTTGAAGGCAGGCTTGAAGCATGTGGGGGAGTGGGTGGAGGGTTCTGAATGTGGTTTCTCTGCAGCGAGGGGCTCTGAGGACTGGTCACGGCTGTTCGAGGGAGTGTCGTTGTTATTGAGGTTGTTGTTGTAATTCCATTTTGGGGCGATAATGGGCTTACTTGGTCTGAAGGACCCCCCACACTGGGTGGCCTTTTGTCCTGACCATGCTGATGGTTTGCCATGGCAGCCAGTCTTTCACTGGCAGATCTTCCTGAAAGCTGAGCTTTGAGGGCATGCTCCCTTGAGTATTGCTGGAGATGGGCTTCACTGGACAGAAGTAGGGCCAGTTGACTGCAAGCTACGCTGGGCTTTGGTGAGGGTACGGGACTAGAACGTATTTTAACCATGTTGGCCACAGCCTTCAAACGTTCAGCGCAGGACACGGATTCAGCCACTGCGGGAGCTGCAGGAGGGGTGGCGCTGTGTGCTGATCTAGGAGACTCAGGCGGCCTGTCTTGACTGTGGCCCCGGCGACTATAAGGGCTGCTGTTGTGGTTCTGAAGTTTGCTCTTCCTCATTAGGCCTTTAAGGCGACTTGAAGCTGCGCCGTAAACAGGTAGTGGCTCTTTATCCATAGCTGGTGCCTTGGAGGGTGAAGAACACTCACCGGTAGGCTTGTTAGAGTGTTGAGATATTGCTACGCTCTGAAGCCTCGAGCTGAATGACTGAAGTAGAGAAGCCAACAGAGTGCTCTCTCCAGCATGTGGAGATCCCTCCATGGCGCCATTCTGCAGGGTCCCCACTTGGCCATTCAGCTCTACTGGAGGTGAACTCAGTCTTTGGCTCCCTGAATCATTCCATGCCCCAGAGCGCAACAACCGGGCCTTCTTAAGGTGTTGTGAAGAACCTAGTTTGGGCCCGTTAGTTTCAGCCTTAATTTTTGTTGGGTCATGGCTTGGTAGTGGTAAAGGCCCACCCACTTTGTTGCTCTGCTCCTGATTGCTGTTTGAAGCCTCAGATCTCCCACCTGCCGTGGCCCCAGGCCCGGCCACCACTGGATGCATCAGTAAACCTTCCAGATAAGTTAAAACAGCTGAATCCTTGTGTGTCTCAGGGCCAGGCTCCTCCCCATGAGTCATGTTCAATACTCAGATCCCTTCTTATAGCTCAGCAATGCTACTGTTAAATGATAGCTGTCCAAGTCATCTGGTTTACAATGGCAAGCACTTGTAAAAAAAACAAAAGGATATTGTGCTTTAGCAAAGAGAGGATACGAAGATTTAAGGATGGATACACTGGCTGTATCTGATCCCTTTCTGTGGTAGGCTTAGTGTGGTGAAACAGCAACCATGGCTGCAGGAAATCTGGGGCAGGTGAGCCTCCAAGGCATTGTTGTGTGCCTTTAAATGCTACAGGGTCCCAGGAAGGCCAACCTTCTTGCTCAGTGGAAAAGTCAGTGGGACTTAACCATAAAGATTTTAGGGATAATACATCCTTGTTGATATCCAGGGAGTTCCTTCAGCAGGGCTGATGCTCCATTAGTGGCTCCTTAACGCTTTGCAGATCTTGCTGTGAGTAGCAGAGCGACCTAAAGGAATAAGCAAGAGAAGGAGAAAAACAAGAAATCGTGAGAGAAGCAGGGATTTGCAGTGCACTATATCACATTCATTTCCCCACCTTGTCTGCCATCCCTGTTACTTAGCAACATTTCAGACTGACTGCACACGGCTCCTTCTCCTCTCTGCACTCTTCCCTCACAGCCACCCATCAGACGATAAATGTAGATTAGGCTTGATTAGATCCAAATTGAAAATTCAAGCCCAATACCTTGAAAATATTCAGGTCTTGAGCAGCAAGCTTCTCGCGGCAGCATCTTTCAAAAGTGAAGGACCTTATGAGAGCTGTGCATAATCCTTTATGCAGGTTGTCATTTTAGTGGATTATCTCTCTCTACCACCTCCTGCCTTCTATGCACTTCAGTTACATCTCTCACAGCGCAACCCACGGCCTCCATAGAGCAAAAGCCAGCCACCCACCCACCCACATACACATCAACGAGCATTTAAACACTCAGGCTTAAACACCCCAATGAGCATTAATATGAGGATGTACAGTAAGATTCCCTTTAAATAAAATGTATGTACCGGAAAAATTTTTTTAAATCTTAAAATCCCTTAGTCTTATTAGGTCAGTTCTGCCTCATGCGAAAAACACAGAGGAAACTTAAAATAATCGATCTAGTCTAACCATATGGATTCTAATATAGTATAGGAAAAGGTTGATTTGCTGTTTTAGAACATCAGAGGGCATAATGAGGAAAGATGTTAGCGATGACCTTCACCATTTAGGAGTACTTTGATATTGAATGTGTGTCAAAACAAACTAAAGCTTTGTAATCATGGTGAGATTAGCTAACAGTTAGCTGTTAATGATGAGAATGTTGAATTCTGCTTTGTTGCTTTACATCAAGACCAAACTTAAAAAAGTCATCATGGTTTTCATCATGTTGAAAAAACTCTAAATCATGTCACAGACTCTGCATCAAACTGACCATATCAATGTGTTTTTTTTTAATGGCACCATGTTTTTTCTCCCACAATGTTAACATTTCATCACTTTAAGAAATAGAAATGTCATGACAGCTGTGCAAAATGAAACTGTATGCAAAATGACAGTAAAAGTTGTCTAAGTCCAAGTCTGGTTTTAAAATAAGATTGGGTTTTAAGCTTATTGAATTATGGATAACAAATCTAGAATGCTTAAATGAAAAAAAAAATAAATTGAAAGAGAGGAAGTTTTTCCGTTTCCTTATTTATCGACATCTGAAACATGTATAACTTATTTATAGGGAGAACACCTTTTCTCTCTAAAATGTTGGCAAAAAATGAAATCCAAGCTTGTTTCACAGCTTGAATTTCATAACCCTGTAAATTAAGCTCACCTCCCAGACAGGATGATATATTGGGGCAATATATGTTTTTGTCATTTTTATTATGAAATTAAAGTGGAAAAAAAGGCATCAATTGGATTTGATACAAGGAAGTCAGAGATTAGAATATTCAGCTAGATCTCACAGCCCTACAAGGAAAAGTATATTTATTATTTTCTGTTGTCAAAAATATTCATATAGAAATATAAACTAATTTGCACACATCAGTGTTTCTTAAAGTGAAGTAGGGCTTCAGTTTCAGCAGTTATAATGTTTAGCACTGATAGGGACCTCTGCTTGAAAGGTGGGCAAACAAAAAAAAAGGTAAGCAGTATACATATAGAAAATATAAAGACAACAATATAGTATAATAATAACATAAAACTATATTTCAACATTTTTATATGTATTTATTGTTTCATTTTTAAAGATGTATTTATTGAAATATGTTACTATTTATTGCAAATAATAAAATAATTTTATTATCATTTTCTGACATTTGTTTTATAAAACTATTTATATACTGTATATATTTCACCTTGTTTTTATTTTAGTATATTGAGAAATTAAAATAAAAAAATAAGCTAAAGATTTTATTTTGAAATTCATGGGAACATTTATTTATTTATTTGATGGAAGATTCATCATTTATTAGTAAGATTTTTACATCAACCTTGGGTTTTGGTCTTTATGACAGATGTCTGTGATCCTTTAGCTTAAAATCTCTGATTTAAGAAGATCATGGCTTGTTGATATGGAGAGTCCAGTTTACACAAAAAACTACTACGCACGGCGGTGGGGGCTGATGGCATGGGCTGAACAGAAACCACATAAGCACAGGCTTAAAGTTATTGGATCTTTGAATGAAAAAGTATTCAAGAGTTCTGCTTCAGACAGAAACACTTCAATCAAACCAAGACATCAAAAAACAAGAGGGTGCAAAAATCTAGCAGTAAACAACAACAAAAAGACCAGTGGAACCTTAAAAGATCTGGAAATAAATATCTACAAACTTTAAATTAGATTTAATGGAAAAATTGATACTGTTCTGTTACGCTATATTTATCTGAACTTGTGAAGACCAGATGAAGATAACTGTAAAACCCACACAATACCAAATGCACCTCTGTCCGTGTTTTTCAGAAGACGAAAGCTAAATCTACATGTAAAATGTTCTTTACAGTGCTTTTATCCAAGGAGTCCCAAAATGTCTCTCCAATCCGGCATTCATTCAGCCTCAGAACGGATAGTTCCCACATGTGTTAACACTTAATCTATTCTGCCGTTGTGATTACAGTGAAGCCAGAAGCCCTTCATTATGATCTGAATCCAGGGGCTAAACTCAAAGGTGTCAAAACTATTAATTTTTATTACTGCAGTAGACGTATAAATCCTTACCAACTTCCTCAGACTTCATTTTCTTAGTTTTATAACTAAGGTTAACAGTGTCATATTTAACTTTGCATCATCTTGAAAAACTATTTATCTTGGTATGTGGTGAACAACAAGTTGGGGCAGCACCGAATCCAACCACAAAGAAATTAATTGTCTGGATGAAACTAATTGTTTTGATGGCTTTTTTTTTTTTGTTAGAAATAATGAATATGAGCCACGACTAACAAGTCTATTTCTAAAATGTAAGGAGTAGAATTAAAAAGTTGTCAAAAAATAATTACTGCAATAAAGTATAGATAGCCAACATTTCTACTTAAGTAAATTAACCAAGTATTTGTACTTAGTTACTTGATGCCTCTGTCTAAACTACCTCACTAGCATGCATTCACACAATGCAGAGCTCTGCTGATAGGCTCACACTGGAGTCAGGTTTGTTGAAAGCTGCAGAAAGTGGCCCTCGAGATCTGGAGTTTGACACCACTGATCTTTACTGGTATGAATGGGAGGAAGTAATGAAACAAAGCAAAGGTATCACTGTTAGGCAAGATGTGCTCTGCTGTCAGGAGTTTGTGTGTTTTTTAACTTGTTTTACTGGTTGACTCAAAGATCAGGGGCACCTGTCATGGCAGGCTATTGTCATGAGGGCAGAGGCAGCGACACTGGGGTGCACAATGTGCCAGTTGCTATGACAGTGTCAGCTGTTCTGCCCTAGTAGACCTCTGCTCTGAACCCTGTCAGCGTGGTTTCCGTGGATACGGGGCACCTCCGACAGTCCTGGCTACATCTTATAAAGGTTAATTAATACAGAGCTTCCACTCTGGCTCAGCTGCTGTCCTTGTCCTGTCCTGATCTCACCTTTTCTGTCCGCTAAGCAAGCAGCCATTACAGGTCATATAACAGGACAACAGCTCTTCATGGTGAAGAAAGGGACCAGGCCTAAAAAAAGGTAGCATCAGCCTTTCCAAATCAGGCTGAGCATCGTCTCTAAGGGTCAACAGAGGGTAAGGGGTCAGGTTATGTCAATGAGGATGGCTAGATGCCACATTTAATGCCATCTTGAAAATGAACTGGGATTAAATGCAGGATCTAAACTAGTAACCTTACATTTTAAAAGCTTTTATTTTTAACTTCCTCAAACCATGGTATGCTAGTAACATTCTCTAGATATCCCCACAGGGAGCCAAGTGATTCCACCTAGAATGGTCCATCAGCATCAATTACAGTTTAAGAACTTCTCTGAGCTGTTGACCCAATTTTGGTGATGACAAAGAGCCGACCTGGTCACCCTGGACCATCTGACGTCTGTTGTCATGCTAATCTTAGAGGCACTGGATTAGGACTATTTTCCCGCCAGAGGGCTTAACGCTGTTCTACTGGAATAACAGTAATGCCCCATTTGATCAGTGCTGTAAACATGTAAACATGTTTACCTTGACAAAGGCCTGGCCAAAAATGACACCACTAGAACTCAAAGTGAGTAACAGGGTAAAATAGACATGGAAAGGAATTACTTGCATACTCTTCACTACTAGTGGTAAACCCTTGGACTGACGGTTGAACGGGTCTATGCAGTTTATAGACTATTCAAAGCCCTACGGCTGCCATTTCACAAAGCAACGTGAACATGTTTAATCCTTCACATTTCACTGAAAAGCTGTTCTCAATTCTCTAAAGGTTTGGTAAAAAGTTACAGGAAGTTTCTGTCTGACCTGTAATAAATTATTTTCTCTTTCGCTACATTTAATATAAATCTAAAATAGCTGGTCCCTGAGACTAAAGCTCAAGATTCACTAAAATGAATAAAAAAATCACCAAATTTGCGTTGGAGGTTGTTTACTTATAATTATTATTATAATTTTAAGTTATTTATTTAGAGATGGCGAATCTCCAACGATCTTCCATAGAGAAAACATACGTGAAACGGATCATTTTTAAATAAGATCTAAAGGTAAAATAGAGTGAATTCAGGGGTTCCACCTAGAGTGGGGCTCAATAATTGCAGGGTGGGGTAGGATGTGTGTTTGAGGGTTGAAATAACTTGATTACTTGATCTGTTATGGAAATCTTTTTTTTTCTCAATGCATTAATGGCAAGGATGATATCTGTTACAAATAAAAAAAAAAAAGCACGAGGGTCGTTTTTTTGCTTTAGATGACATAATGCTTGAAGGTTGGGAGCGCTAAATTTCACCTGCATACCAAAGTACGTTTGGGAAACAATGTTAAAATTAAGAAAAATTTTGTTGATTTTAAATTTATCTAATA